CAGACATGTCCTGCTGACATGTGGACAGATGAAGTCAGTGAGCCAGCCGGTGAAATTAGGTGAGGGGAGAATCAGACAGAGCTGACACTGAGGTAGGACAAAGAAGACAATAACAGGTCCTGGAATCATCATGATCAGAACTAAAAAGGATATCTATACAATTAGTAAGTTTATTGAGGTCTTTTAAGGTCTGTATCTTTTGTATGATTATTATCTAAGTGGGAGGTGTGATATTCTCCAAGTGTCACGTGCTATCAGCCGGCAGACCCGGTGCAGCTGATGCTAATTAAGTGAAATGTCTCTTTTAACTCTCATACAGCCACCCTTTATATTCCCCTTAATTTAAAAAAAGGAAAATATCTGGAAGACTTTAAGTCTGATTTACATATGACACTTAATTTACCATCTAAAAAAAACATATTTTGACAATGCATGTTATCCTGCTCTGATCTGCTACCGATTTCTTTGCTCATCGAGTAGGCTAACAATCAGTCTAATTTATCCTACAGAGACGTGAAACAAATATGTTTTTATCCCGAAGAAAATTAGGCACGTCATCTTCAAAATTCCAAATGAAAATAAGGTGTCATCTAGCACGACAGCCACCTGATAAACACACAAACATGTCAACGCTTCTGTTGTTAATTATGGAAGGGAGCCCACCTTGCCGCTGGCGGTCCCTCCAGCCACCCCGATGAGGAAGGGCTGCCGGTGCACGCGCTCATGCTCGGCTCCGTCAGGCTTTGTCTCGCGGTCGCCTGCCATGCTTCATCTGCAGCAGCGCGAGGTTGCGGCGCTCTCACAATACTCGTGCGCTCCTCCCCTCTGATGATGATGCTGAAGGTGAGGAGAAAATTATCATCACACACACGTTGATGGAAAATGTGTGTTTTGCTAACAAAACTGAGACTGCATGCCATCTGCTTCTTTTTTTGAAGTGAAAGCATATGGAGCCCATTAAATTAGCCTATCATAAGCACATCCTGATAAAAACTTGCAAGATTGTTTTATTTATACGAAATGTAAAACCTTAACATCACATTTGTCAAAACACTATGTCACTGACCTTTGGGTGGTCTTCACACAGGGTACTTCCTGTTTGAAGGTTTTTCCACCCTCATCTGTGATTGGACATTTGAGAAGTCATGTGATTTTGATCGCATGATATCACAGCTTGTGTTAACCCGTTTAATTGACTCTCATTTGTTTGCGGAAGACCTACACCCATTTGAGCTTATAGGTGTCCCACATTAGGGCAACTCACCCTAGCACAGTGGTTCTCAAACTTATTCTGTCAGGCCCCCCGCCTGACAGAATAAGTTTGAGAACCACTGTGCTAGGGTGAGTTGCCCTAATGTGGGACACCTATAAGCTCAAATGGGTGTAGGTCTTCCGCAAACAAATGAGAGTCAATTAAACGGGTTAACACAAGCTGTGATATCATGCGATCAAAATCACATGACTTCTCAAATCTCAAATTTGGAGAAAAAAAAAAGTTTAAAAGCATCAATCTGGTGCACTTTGAGAGCAAAATGAAGAGATCTATGGATAACTCTCTCAACACCCATATGAAACAGAACAGTTAACAGATTTACTATTTCTTTATGGATATTTTACAAATTACTCCCCTTTTAAACTTTATTCATTTTTTAATGTCATATAGTATTTCATACCTGTTTTTAATTTATTCTCTTATTTTTTTATAACTATAATGATCATATAAATGTGTGCCTCAGAAATAATTGTTTACATTAATGGTGACCAAAACGTTTGAGACCCACTGAGATAACACTGAGAGAGTCCTTTAGCTCACTGAGTCCCTCAGTCTGACAGGAGAGGACTCTCCTCCACTTTGTTGTTGAAAGAACTCCTTATATCCGTTAGCGTAGCTCGCTAGCACCAGAAGCTAACATCAACGATCTCCGGTACCGGTGCGCTCTCTCTCTCTCGCTCGCGCACGCACACAAAATGGCTCGTTCCACACACACACAGAGCCAAGTTTTAATGAAACACAGAGACCCAGACGTAATAGTACTGTATCATATTATTTTCGAATCAATAATTTTTCAAAATATGTTTATTTTTTTAATAACCATTTTTCCTCCTGGTCTCTCGCGCCCCCCCCTGTCATGCCTCCCCCCCTCCACTTTGAGAACCACTGCCCTAACATGGCCTAATACAAAAAACGAGGGATTGTTGTGAGACAACATATATTTTTAATACTGAGACATGTTAATGCTCTGGGGCCTCATTTATAAAGGGATATAGGATACGCTCAAAAAATGGCGTACGCGAGTTTCTACGCAATGTTATATAAAATACTAACTTGACGGGAAAATGTGCGGCCCTCCACGCAAACTGTAACCCATGCGTACGCACTAAGCACAACAACGGGAGAGACGAGAAACTGCGACACCGCGTTGGCAGAAGGAAGAATGGAGAGAAATATGTGGAAATAATACCATAAATAAAACGTTACCTCTCATTTATCATATGAATAATTCATTTTCACACATTGATTAAAGCCAATCTTAAAATGATTAAACAAACGCCTGTTTGAGACTCCTCAGTGCACACGAAAACATAACTTTGAGAAATAAATAAATACGGATGTTATTTAAAACCACCTCGAATATGTTGTGTTAATGTTATGAAATGTTTTCTCATAAATGATGCGGTAAGCAGGAGGACAGAATTACGTCTAAACTGACGCCGTTTTGCATTTCTATAGGTTGTAGATACGAGCATGGTTTTATATACTATCATGTTTAATCGTGTTTTATGCCGTTTTCTAAGACTTGATAAGTCGCTCATAAAACACAGGAGGTATGGAAGCTAAGAACACCATATGTGGTAAATTGTACAGCTAATATAACACAACACATTAGTTGTATTTCCTTTAACTGGTGGATTATGGATATATAGTTGCTGATTGAAAGCTGGACGAAGGTACGTTTTAACAGTTTGTTTTTTCGTTCTAATTGAAAAAAAAAAAAAAAGCAGAAACGGGTCTTTTTTTTGTTTTTCAATTTTGCCCCAAAACTAAAAAACGGAAATTCAGCTCGTTTTTCTGTTCTTACTGTTAAAACAAGTATACCACTCAATGTTTCGTTTCCATAAGTGGGTGTGTCTCCAGCGCCTCCTTGCTTCTGATTGGCTAGTGTGCCGTACTCTTCAAAATAAAGGTTCTACGTCTTTGCCTTTAGACTGCGTTACAAATATACGTATATTATTATATTCATACATCACTGATTCTTGAAACTTTGCCAAAAACATGTCCCACTAAGAAAAGTGCTAATTCTGTTGGAAATGAATAACATTTTCATGAATAAAAATAATCAAGGTTATAATCAGAGGGTCTTCTGCACAAATGTATGGTTCTTTCATAGTTTTATTTTTTATTTTTTATTAATTTAATGATTATATGCTGGCCCATTGCCTACAAAATCAGTTGTCCTCGGATAGGAGATAATCATTTCAACTTGATTAAAAAAACAAAAAGTAATAATTTAATAGAATAATATTCTTACCAAATGAAAGAGTACATTGTAATATGTATTAAAAACTACAAACAGTGAATTTTGAACAATATTTACCATTATTTTGTGGTTGCTCAAAATGCGTCCCACATATTCGTCACCACCGTCAGATATTTATAAAAAGCAATAAAATCAGGCAACTACAAGGTCAGCTACATTCCTTAGGACCCCCTTTTCAAACCTTCAGCTTTACTGCATGCTTCAAGATCACTCAAGCTCCTGTACATTTGCTATTTTCTCTAAAACTTGTACATTTTTTATCTGACTGCTTCTGTCACAACCATAACATGTCAACACCGTCTCTTTTGTATAGAACATATTAGATTAGATTATGACATAAATGTATACTTTTTAAGACGAGGCCTGAGGTAGCTAGCAACAGAGGGGAAACAAGATGGCTAATGTGAACAACTCATGCATATCATGTAAAAGAGTAGGTTTTTGTCACCACCGTCAGACATCACCACCGTCAGATTGTCTGTCTGACGGTGGTGACATACTGTCTGACGGTGGTGACAAAAACCTCAAAATGTTACTCAAGGGAGGCTAAAGTATATTTATTTACCACAATAACAATACACTGCATGCTACTACCACCATTGATGAACCATATACAAGTACAGAAGACAGTCTGTCCTTATGTCTGTCTTTCTATGTATATGTCTGTCTCGATGTCTTTCTATCTCGATGTCTGTCTGTCTGTCTTTCTGTAACTATATTTTAGAGTTTAAAGCGTAGCCACTTTTACTCCACTACATGTATTTAATACCTTTAGTTACTTAACAGATGTGGATGAATGATGTGAAATATAATCAAGTGTTGAATCAGACTTTAGTTCCACCTGGAGTAAATTCACAAGCTACCCTGCAGTATACAAAGTCATTCAAACTAGCTGCACCTTTACCAGCTTTGAGAACACTTTCATGATCAATCATTATAAAATATATCATATTTATTATTCTGAAATGGACCAATCTGCACAATGACTACTTTTACTGTCGCTACTTTCACTATATTTTGATGATAATACTTTTCTACTTTCACTTGAGGAACATTTAGAATGCAGGACTTTTACTGTAACAGAGTATTCCTACACTCTGGTACTTCTACTTTTACTCAAGTACAAGATCTGAGTACTTCTACTTTTACAAGATCTGAGTACTTCTACTTTTACAAGACCTGAGTACTTCTACTTTTACTCAAGTACAAGATCTGGGTACTCCTACTTTTACTCAAGTACAAGATCTGGGTACTCCTACTTTTACTCAAGTACAAGATCTGGGTACTCCTACTTTTACACAAGTACAAGATCTGATTACTTCGACAACCTCTGATTAATGGTTGATTTCCAAATGTTCTGTTGGTGCGTGGATGATCAAATAATAGTGTTTGATTGTATTGCCTTACGTGCAGCTATTTGCCTGTGTTTAGAAACATAATTAAACAAACCATGGACACACATTCAAACAATTTTCCATTTATTAAACATTGCAGATGAACAATTAACAAGTCTTACAGCTAAAGAAAACTACAACAATCATTTTCTGTATGATGATATCATGGAACCTGGAATTTGAACACACACCACTTAACAATAAACAATAAACGACTGAACTGCTGTCCACTTTAGGGTAGGGCCCTTAAAGCATCCAGTGCTGCAGACAGTCCAGCAACCTGGGTATACACTGGCTCCTGATCCCTGCACTTAAGGCATTGGGGAGATGTTATCCTCCACTCCTCCACACAGAGCCTGCATCCCACGCTGCTTCGGCAGCAGGAGGAAAACATGGGTCCAGTCATTGTGTCTTTAAAAAGAAAAAAGACAGGTTTTCAAAGATATGCTGATAGTTACTGATTGATGTCATGGACTGTATTTCTGAAGCATGCACTCAAACTGAGAAAGATACTGTTCAGAAATAGATTTGAAAAGATTAAATGGAGCGAAGGCTGCGAGCTAGTTCAGGCAGTCAACTCGAGCACTTATGCTGCATTCATACATAACGCTCCCTTGCCACTCTACAACCAACCAAACAGAGTCTCCTTAATATGCCGCTCTATTTAACCTGCCAGATCTCTCTCCATGCATTGCTTGCTGCTGCTATAGCTGCAGCTACCTCTACGTCGCTGCTGCTTGCTGCCCCACCACCACCCCAGCTTCCACCTGTAGGCTCGGGGGTTAGTTATTTAATCATCACTCATCGTGCTATGTATATCTATGGAGTGATGATGCCCGAGCCTAGTCGCCAAACTCAACTATATGCTGCTTCTAATAAACATGTTAAAGGAACACGTGAGTTGTGTGACTGAACTTAGAATAATATGAAAATCCGGCACCTATACGTTTTATTTTTTAAATACTGTTTGTTACACTGAGCATTATTCAAAGAGAGGATCAATCAATCAATCAATCAATGTTTATTTATATAGCCCAATATCACAAATGTTACATTTGTCTCAGTGGACTTTACAGTTTGTACAAAATATCAGTATGACAATACGACACCCTCTGTCCTTAGACCCTCACATCGTACAAGGAAAAACTTCCGGAGAAAACCCACAGTTTAAAGGGAAACATGGGAGAAACCTCAGGGAGAGCAACAGAGGAGGGATCCCTCTCCCAGGACGGACAGACGTGCAATAGATGCCGTGTGTAAATTGAAAAGATAATACATTTTCAACATAGGTAGTCCAAATGTTTGGAAATGCATGTGTGTATAATAGGAAGATGAATCCACGAGGATATCCATCCAGGACCTATGATCCAGGACCACAGCCACGACTCAAGACCCAGGGCTCGCGATCCAGGACAGAGCAGCGCAGGATCATCCATGACTCCGGATCCCGGCGTATATAGACACCAAAAAGAAAGACATTTGGGGAAGCTGGGTTAATCGGAACATGAGAGTACACAGGTATAGACAGAGAGAAGGAAGAAGTAAGATGTCCCCCGACAAACTAAGCCTATATCAGCAAAACTAGGGGCTGAATCTAATCAGCCCTAACTATAAGCTTTATCAAAAAGGAAGGTCTTAAGCGCACTCTTAAAAACGGATAGGGTGTCTGCCGCCCGAACACAAACTGGAAGCTGATTCCACAAATGTGGAGCTTGATAAGAAAAGGCTCTGGCTCCCATTGTACTTTTAGAGATTCTAGGAACAACCAACAACCCTGCATTCTTGGAACGCAATGCCCTAGTAGGACAGTAGGGTATAATGAGTTCTTTAAGGTAAGATGGCGCCTGCCCATTAAGGGCTTTGTAGGCGAGAAGAAGAATTTTAAATTCTATCCTGTGTTCTATAGGGAGCCAGTGTAAGGCAGCCAGAACAGGAGTAATGTGGTCCCTTTTCCTAACTCTGGTTAGTACACGAGCTGCAGCATTTTGAATCAGCTGAAGCGACTTGACTGACTTCTTGGTACACCCTGATAATAAAGAGTTACAATAATCCAGCCTTGAAGTAACAAATGCATGGACTAGTTTCTCTGCATCGTTTTGAGGCAAGATATGCCTGATTTTTGCAATGTTACGTAGATGGAAGTAGGCGGTCCTTGAAATTGATTTTATGTGGGCGTTAAAGGATAAATCCTGATCAAATATAACACCAAGATTCCTTACAGTCTCACTGGAGGCCAAATTAATGCCATCCATGGTTAATATATCCTTAGATAATTTGTTTCGTAGATTCTTCGGGCCAAGTACAATAACTTCAGTTTTGGTCGTGTTTAACATAAAAAAGTTTAAGGTCATCCACGTTTTTAAGTCCTTAAGGCAGTCTTGAATTTTATTTAGATGATTAATTTCATCAGGCTTGATTGATAAATATAGTTGAGTATCATCCGCATAACAATGAAAATGTACAGAATGATTCCTTATAATATTGCCTAACGGAAGCATATATAATGTGAACAAAATAGGTCCGAGCACTGAGCCCTGTGGCACTCCATGGCTAACTTTGGTTTGCGTGGAAGATTCCTCATTGACACGTACAAACTGAGAGCGTTCAGATAGATAGGACCTAAACCAGCCTAAAGCAGTTCCCTGTATGCCAACTAAGTGCTCTAGTCTTTGCAATAGGATATCATGGTCGATAGTATCAAATGCAGCACTGAGATCGAGCAAAACAAGAATAGAGACACGTCCCTTGTCAGAGGCTATTAGAATGTCATTTGTGACTTTAACCAGAGCTGTCTCTGTGCTATGATGTGTTCTAAAGCCAGACTGAAAATCTTCAAATAAATCATTGTTTTTTAAGTAATCACACAGCTGTTTTGCGACTGCTTTCTCGAGAATTTTTGAGAGGAACGGAAGATTGGAAATAGGTCTATAATTGGCTAAAACCTCTGGATCGATGTTGTGCTTTTTAAGAAGCGGTTTTATCACTGCTACTTTGAATGATTGTGGAACATAGCCTGATAATAAAGACATATTCATAATATTTAATAAAGAAGTGCTAATTAATGGAAAAACTTCCTTCAACAGCTTAGTTGGAATTGGGTCTAACATACACGTTGATGGTTTAGAAGAGAGAATCATTGAATTTAATTGTTCAAGGTTTATGGCTGAAAAGCATTCTAGTTTACTATCTAGTGTAATATTAGAACTTACGTTTCCGGGAGCTGTTGATAACACTATACTGGTCAAAGGCAAGAGGTCATTAATTTTGTTTCTAAGAGTAACAATGTTATCATTAAAAAAGCACATAAAATCATTACTACTGAGTGCTATGGGAATAGAAGGCTCAATTGAGCTGTGGCTTTCTGTCAGCCTGGCTACAGTGCTGAAAAGAAATCTTGCATTATTCTTATTCTCATCTATTAATGAAGAGTAGTAGGCTGCTCTTGCTTTACGCAGTGCTTTCTTATATTCATTGAGAGTAATATGCCACATTAAACGAGATTCTTCAAGTTTAGTGGAACGCCATATCCTTTCAAGTTGTCTCGACTTTTGCTTTATTTTGCGGATTTCGGCATTATGCCATGGAGCTAATCTATGTTGTTTTATTTTCTTCTTTTTCAAAGGAGCAACAGAGTCTAATTTTATTCGCAGCGCATCTGTAGCACTATCAACAACATGATCAATTTGGGGTGGTGTACATTTTGTATAAGTTTCCTCCCTTACATGCAGACATGCTATCGAGTTAAGTATTGGTGGAATCTCTTCCTTAAATTTGGCTATAGCACTAACAGATAGGTTTCTGCTGCAGGAGCTTTTGACTAATGCTTTGTAGTCTCGTAACAGTACTTCAAAAGTTACTAAGAAATGGTCGGATAAAGCAGGATTATGCAGTTCGACTAATAGTTGCTCAATTTCAATACCATAAGTCAGAACAAGGTCGAGAGTGTGATTATAGCAGTGGGTTGGTTTATTTACACTCTGACAAAAACCAACAGAATCTAATATAGAGTTAAATGCAACAGTAAGGCTATTTTTATCATCGTCAACATGAATATTAAAGTCACCTACGATAATTACTTTATCTGTTTTAAGAACCAAAGTTGATAAAAACTCAGAGAATTCAGATAAGAATTCTGAAAAAAAACAATACCTCTGCAGATCAAACAGCTGCCTGTTTGACTTCTGGCCTTGGTACTACCAAGTCCTGGCTGGCTGCCACTATGTCACAAATCTTCCTGGTGACTTCTTCCAGGCCTTGGGATGCATCCAGCAGTTCTCAGTGTGTGGACTTCAGATAGCTCATTTCTGTTTTTGTCACATTTTGAAAATAGTTTAAGTATTAGCAGTCATTTAAGATTGTTTCTTCATTTTATTAGAGATAAAAGAAAGTTATGTATTCCATAGCAAATTAGATGATGCTAAATAAACAAGAGCATGTGGAAACATTTAATTTCTTGAAATTACATTTAAAGGATATTGTTTATAAATGCTGATTGTAGAACGGATGTTGACTGTGACTCTTCATACCATGTGCTGACCCACAGAGTACTGAGGTGTGCTACAGTGAAGCCCATGCTTATGCATGTCTGCCCCAGATGGCAAACTTATATAGCCCTTGAGCTGCAAAAATGCTAAATGGCCAGAAAGCAGCCTTTTTCAAATAATGAGAGGGTTTTGCCAGTCTGTTGTTAGCGAGTCAAATAAAGTGAAATGCTGCATATTGTGACCCTTCAGTTTGAGTGCTAGCCCTTCTTTACACATTACATTATTTCCCCTATTGATAGACCAGTTCAAACCTTCTCCAGACAAAATCAGTTTTGTTATCCAACCACACCTGCTTCTTGAGCCTCTTCGACGCCATTGCCTGAAAGCAGAGCTCTCAACAGCATGGATCTTTCTTGCATTCGGCTTCCAGTACAAAGACCCTTTATGAGAGAAATAAAGAGTAAAGACACGTGAAAATAAAATGTTAAAAGGGGCACATTGTTGTACTGATAGCACTTTCAGACCCTTATCTTTTGCACAAATGAAAATGAAATATAGAATAATTATATTTACCAATTGTCCCTTCAGACTCACTATTTCATTCCCAACGGTGTCTGTAAGGATGTACTCCTCACTGTCTCCCATGGCCACATTCACTTTTCCTGTGATCAGTGGAACGCTTGCCTCTGACTCAACAAATCTGATCATGACCACCCTTGTGGAAACAATCTTTCTATCCATTATTTCTGACACATGTATTGACCTGTAATGCAAAAAGAACAGTGACACACATTTAGTTAGCAACATGGACTAAAACGTAACATTCTAAAGCATGCCAACGTATGAAATGGGCATCTCATTACCTTTGAAATGACCGAGGGGTGCTAATTGATCTAGTCAACTGACTCATGTTTGCAGTAGACATTGGCTGACTATGACGAAAAGCAAACGGCCGTGACTCAGCTGGCTCTGTCTGGATCCTTTGAGTCTCCCCAGGTTTTTCCCCATGAACCTCATAATGGCCGTGATCAGAGAGGTCCAGGGAGCAGAAAGACCCACTATCCAATGGAAAAACCGCAACGTTGGCGGCATCAGTGATGAAAAGGCTACCTGCGTTGACCTAAAAGAAAATAACAGGTTATATATATTTCACAATTTCCTTTTAAACAATCACTTCTTTGTCTTTCCATGTGTGTCCTTGCATAATTTCTTCCTTTGTGTCGTTTCTTCAATGGTGGTAGTGGTTTATTAATTGTATTAAAAAAACATGCAGTTAGTAGTTAATCCTAAAGATTATTTGTATGCCTATATCAGACCTCAGTATCAATCTAAATGTCACTGATATAGTTTATAAATAAATGTCTTGCTGGACTGTACGACAAAATTGTCTCAGGGCTGTCACCAAGTAAATGCTGTTTTTAAGTTGTTGAAGTTTCTTCTTGCTTCGCTTCTGAAAAGTTCAATTATAGTTATGCAGTTATTTGTGCAAAACAGTTCATATAAAATCATTATCATTGAATCTTTTCACATCTTTTCATGCCATGTCTATTTTGTGCACCAAATTAAGGATAAAATCCGATAACATCCTAATAATATCCTTCCCCATTTACAATGTGATATCTAAATATTGTTTTGTTTTTAAATGAATGATTAACTGACTCTCTCGTCCAGATGACTCGTAGCTTTATTGCTATTGAAACAAGGTTAGCTTGTTACACGTTAACACACCATGTGCCTGTTCAATCAATAATTAATCACGGATCTCTTAAAAATACCTGAAAAATCCGGCTGATTCTGTCGACGCGCATGTCGTCTATTTTAAGAGTAACTCGCTGGCTGCCTCTGAAAAGAAAGTATGACTCCATCTCCGTTTTTATTGTTAACAATATATTGCTATCGCCGTGTCCGACAAGTCGTTCTTGGCGGTAATGTGTGCATTACACAGGGTGCATTTACGGTATGGTGCCGTAAATGCACCATCAATTTACACCAGGACTGCTGTGCGCATGACAGGAAAGTTTGATCGCGGGAAATATAGTCACCCTCCTTATTAATAATAATGGAGTCCAGTTTGTTGGCCTACAGAGAAGTTATACAAAGTATGATAAAAGATGGTTATACTGATCAAAATATATCCGATCATCTCCACTATGAATGTGGCTTAACAAAAGGGTTCTTCCAAACAAACATCCGTCGCTTTTGTACCCAAAATGGTATAGGCAGAGAGTGAGTGCATGATTCCCAACTGGAAGTAGAGGTTGCTAAAGCAGCTGTTGAGGTGAGGTAGGCCTATGGCTTAATTCAGTGATGTAAAGTAATTACGTAGATTTACTCAAGTACTGTACTTATTACTTCATAGTAATAGAGTGGTGTCGTGAAGCGTCCTAAAACCCGGAAGTAAGTTCCTTCTGGTTCCCTCGACAAAAAAGCTATGCAATTTCGCCATAGGATTTTGGAAAATAGCTCGAAATAATGTCTGTGGTTGACACACATTTAAGAGACGGATCACGTTTTGTTCAGTCGGATAATCTCCACATGTCTACCCTACTTTTATAATCATAAATCGAATCGAAAGATTTATGATTTTAGGACGTGTCACTGCACGACTCTATAGCCTACTGTTGGGTTTCGGAATGCTGGGAGGAGTAATGGCCAGAAAGAATCCAAGACACTTCTTGTAAAATGGACAGGGTTTTAATTATAGTAAACATGACGTTCCTCTGAGGCTGCGACGGGAGAGGGGCCGTATAAACGTTTCAGCTCCGATTATAAACTCTCTGGTACTTCCAGTCTTCTCCCATTGGTTGGCGGCGTCATATTCCGTTGCCCTCTATTGACGTAGCTAAACATCCATTCATAAGCATTTAAATAGCTGTATACATGATAGTTAACCATATAGTAACAGTTGATATGTTAGCATCGCTGAGTGGCAGTTGGAGACGGTGTGTTTAGTATGTAACTACACGCGTTCTCTTCACTAATGCTGCTTGATATGCTACATCCTACTGTGAATGCTAAAAACAATGCAACTTCCGGTTCCGGAAGCTACTACCCCCGATATTTGTCCGTGGGGGAACAATACATCAGTGGACTAAAGTTCCGGTTTCATTTGTTCTCACAATACAAACAAATGTAACGAGCCCTGAATTATGGGTTTTCTTTGAGACGTAGGAGCTGAGTTGAGGCTTAACAATGATGTGACAGAAATACTCACTAATAACTTTGGACATAATTGTGTAAATAATAATGAGATAACTATTCTGTTTTTTTTTGGTTTAAATTAGAACTAAAAAACAAACGGTTAAAACGTACCTTGGTCCTATTTAGTTTTTGTTTTGTGTTTACAAATTCAGACTGGACCAACATATGGAAGAAAAATGATGACTGGTTACCTGGCCTCAAAAGGAATCCGAGCATCAGAGGGGCGTGTTGGTTGTTGGTTGTGTCCATATCATGCAGATCGGTATCGTGTAGGTATTATTAAAAAACATCTAGATTTTCCTGTATTGTACATTGCTGTGAACATATTGTGAGAACAATAACATTGTGTTTAATTCTTCAGAGATAAAGGAATTTAAATCCAGTGCCATACAGTGCAGAGTACATGGGTCACAAATTGCACATTGACCAAAACGAGAAACTGGTGATGTATGGGGTGACCCACGTCCTTGCCGTGGACGGATTCTCCAGCAACATTGTAAGCCACTCCACCATGCCAGTGAAAAACAACCTGACCATATATCAAGAGGTTTACCAGTAAGTTTCAGTGCCCTGTTTCTGTTATAATAATATAATAATAACCTAATAAACAGCAGACAGTAAATAATTTAGTAAACATTTAGCTAAATAAAAACACAATGGCTAAATGTAGCTTTATTTGAACAGTTTTATTTGGGAAAAATATTGTAAATCGAAAACTACTGACAGGTAACCTGTACGTTACTTGGTAATTGATTGATGAGATCAACATTTTAACTGCGTACACAATTCGCTTTAGCAATGCTTAGGTTGTAACAACAAACATGAAATTCTGTTACATGTCATAAGACTTTTGTATTGCTGTTTTGCAGGAGTGCTGTCCTACGATATGGAATGTGGGACCAAATCCGAGTAGACCATGGAAAATAATTCTACTTGACTCTTTTTATGCAGGAGAAATTGGCAGACTACCGGAATAACACAGGCAGACAGCCATACATGCAAACAAAGTCAACACAGGCGAGTTGTTTTTTTATCTGAATTGCAATCAACGTGTTCATACATTACATTACATGTCCCTTGTTAGACGCTTTTATCCAAAGCGACTGACATACTCAATACTGTGGACAATCCCCACATAGCCATTTTTGTCTTTTATTCCTCACTTTATCTGCTGTAATCATGTAAATTACCCTGTGGCGAGACAAATAAAAGATTTCTGATCTCATTCCATTATTCACCCAACTGCTAGCTGATAAAGCTGTCAATAGACCCATGGCATTCACTAAACTTCTCTAGGGGAATGCTAGCTTTTCCCTATGACATAGGAGAGATACACAGTACTTTTGAACTGGATACAACATGAAATGGATAAAATACAAAGCCGGAAATAGGGAAATTAACAATGGGAAATTACAATGTGCTCTCTACATTTGACTCTTCTCATTTTTGTTTACTTTAAATTACAGAATCATATTATAGAAAGGATGTGGCCAGAGGTAAACAACAGGGTAAACTACCCTCTGAAAGGCGCACTCAACCACCTTGTTGACCAGGAGGAACTAAACCTCGAAGACAACATCACACGATATTGTGTGTCCACTCTTACCTGTCAGGTAGCCAACATTGGACTTGACCGGATGGTGCAGTCCTGGAATGCACACAGAATCCAAGGTGTGTATAGCAGTTTTCAGAATGTTACTTAAGCCCCATAACAAATGACCTTCTTTATGCATTTTTATAAGTTGTACTTATATCCTACATTTGTTTCTCTCTGTATCCCCTTTTTTACACTAGGTTGATGGAAATGTTTAAATGTGGCATGTATATATTACAATATTTCAATAATTGTCTGAGTAAAGACATATCTACTATCTAGTTTATAGATTGCTCTTATTGCATGAAACATATATATCTGGTAAGTACATAAAGAGTCAAATTAAAAACATACTTTTTAAAGTTTGTAAGAAGTGTACTAATAGCACAAGTACCATTTTTTGTAAGGGCAGGCTATGATTACACGCTGTGTGAGGTTCATTCACATGCAGATATGCGTTTATAGAGAATACAAGTAATCTTTGCATAACTTTATTTTGCTGACTTCCGGTTTGTACTGTGTCGGCAAATCCAGTGTCCAGCTTGTCGCTGTGTGACAACCATTGAACAACGTCATGTTTGTTGCATACCTGCAAGATTTACCTGTGACAAATGTCAGCGATGTGAACAGAACTGTCACCCTATACTTTCACCTGCACCCAGCAGCAAGTGGGAGAACGATATAGAAGACAGGCCCCACAGTGAGTTCAGGATGAAGTGTTACTGTCTAATGGCGCGTTTCCACTGCAGCGGGGTAGCCCCGTTTAAGCGTCCCTAAGCGTCCTCGCTCTGGCCTTGGGCTGGCCGGCCCAGGCCGTGGCGCATTTCCATTACAGTTTAGGACCTGGGGTAGCAACGCAGTGTAGGCGGGGCGATCGGCTTTGTTTTTGTTCACATTTCGAGTTGTTCCGTCGAGCTCCCGCTGGATTTGATCATCCCCAATGAGATGTAGGAACGTCGTCACCTCCTCGGTCGACCACGGTGTGCTTTTCTTATTAGACGTAGCCATTTTTGTAGCTCATCCGTTTACAAAATGCTGTTTATAAAAATGCTGCAAGCTTGCTTCTAAATATATATGCGACGCTAGGGATGAACTTGCGCGCGATCTTGTGACGATTCTCTCTGACCAATCAGCAGTCGAGAGTGTTAACGTCACTAGTTCAGCCCTGGCCCTGGTCTGAGGGAACCACGATTTTATGGGGCCGGAAAAAGAGGGAAAAAGTACCCGCTAGCCGGTACTAGGCTATATGGAAACGCCACCAAAAACCGACCTGGCCGCTTGAGGACGGTTAAGGACGCTTAAACGGGGCTACCCGCTGCAGTGGAAACGCGCCATTAGTTACCGTCTGGTTCAACATGTTCCTGGGGATTCGGCTCATCTTCTTGATATTTGATATTCTATATTTCTATCATTGACCTTCCCCCTATTTTGTATGTACTCTTAATATTTAATTGTTTTCATCAAATATAACACATTCAACAAAACGTGCTGCAGACCTTAGGCAAGGCAAGTTCATTTATATAGCACCTTTCAACACAAGGCAATTCAAAGTGCTTTACAAAAAGACATTAAGAAAAAGGCATTTAAAAACAGTCATTAAAAAGCAACACAATCTACATTACAATGACTCTAAACATGTAATAACGTGCTTTAACCAGTAGATGGTGCGGATTAAAAAACGTCTAGTTTACAATGTTAACACAGTTATACTGCTGTTTATATATTTTGTTATCCATTCCACACTGTTTTGATATTTGTAACAAAAAAGCGATGGGAAAATGTACATGTTAAAAGTCATGTAACCAATTAGATCATTTAGAAACCTGAGTTTAAACACTTGCATGGGATTTATGGGGGGTTATTCCCTATCTTTATTCAAGAGCGTGGTCTTTAAATTTGAGAGCATACTTTATTGATTTCACGTTCAGAATATGTATTTATTTCCCTCAAACCCTGTCCTCACACTCAAATAGTGCCTGCTTACACTTAGATCTGCTCTGCTTCAGCTCAAACAGTACGCTTGCACTCAGATACATTGCTGTTTACAGATTTCCTGTGTTCCAGTTTAAAACCTTCTCCTCGCACTCAGGCTGTTTCTGTGCGCTCGTGAAATGTCTGCTCTCAGATTTCTTCTGTGCGCGCTCGGATCTTTTGTGCAACAACCGTTCTTATTATACATCCATGGCAACCAGAGCTATATAATAGGCTGATTTTTAGTCCCAGTCCGCCACTGAACGTAGCTATTATGTAAGGTGCTGGTATATATATACTAACTGTGCTTTCCCCAAAAGTTGTAAATTAAACAAGTGAAGTACATGTTATGTTATAAAGCCGTGGAGGCAGGGCCGCCCCTTGCTAACTTGGGGCCCCAAGCGACATTGTGAGATGAGCCCCCCCCCCCCCAACCGACAGGAGTGAAAAAATGTTTGCAAATATAATTCCTGTTTATTATTATTATCAACAGTTACTTTTTTATACAGTGAGGTAAATGGTCAATGTGCATGTATGTCGTTCAATATGCGTTTACAGGTGAATACGTCTGCATTTCCTGCCAAATACTAGCCTCATAAAGATTCAAATATAATTAATGCAAATAAACTACTTCTACTAATAATGATAATCATAATCAATTCAATAATAAAAATACTATATTGTTTTATTATAATATAGTCAAGACAAAACATGCTTATGACATGCTCAAAAAATGATATTTCTTAAATCTGTATTCAAATGTAGTTCCCTCTGTCAGCAATGTACCAACAACTACACACACATTTCTATCAGTATTTCTCTGTGTTGTGGTTGACATGATGATGACTGTTAGGAGTTAAGGGGAGAGGCTGAGCATCACCATGAAATGTGCAAATTGACATAAAAATGAATAAAAGGGGAAAACATGCTCCATGTTTTTTAGGCTGTAAACTTGAACTGTTATGTAAGCCAACTAGACAGACAGTGTATCACACTTCCTCCTGTACATTAATAATAATAATAATTTCAATTTATATAGCGCCTTTCACGAAACCCAAGGACGCTTTACAATGGGAAGTAACACAACAAAAAGTAATAATAATAATCATACAGATACATAGGCTGAAGATAAAAGGCATAACATACTTGAATGAATGTTAAATAAAGAATGCTGGAAATAACTGCATCTCCATTAGCCTATATGCTATGCAGAGACTGCCTTCTTCATGTCGTGAATTGCAGCTGATGTTTTAATATGGCAATTGGCAATTTGACTTATACAACATTCGCAAGTTGTACATTTGACTCATACAATAATAACCCACCTTCGAGTGATGCTCTAGTTTCTTCATGATTTGTTTTTTGCGCCGGACTGAAACTGTCTTTTCACCGACATCTCTTTACCTGCACTAGTGGCCGTATCAAAGCCGTGATTGGTCAGATGTCGATACATTACAACGGTGTCGGGTTACAGACGTGCTCCCCTTGTCATCTCTCGGAGCATCCACACTACAGCTTCAAAAAAAGCTTGGAGCTGGGCGTGTCTGAAGCTTGGGGATTTTATTCGAGAACGCGACCAACAATCAATCACATGAATCTCCCGCCCCCGACATACAAAGCAAAAAACCCCGGGGATTTTATGCGAGCAATATATATATATATATATATAAACTCCCCAAACAGGCGAAAACCTACCAGTTTCACCCACTGTCTCTGCCACCTCCCTCCATGCCTGGTTCCTCCGGTTTGTATCCCGGTGAAGAGGGTCTGCTCATACAAAACCGGGTGATTTGCTACGGCGATAATTAGTTTCTCCTCCATCTTTTTTTGAAATATAGAAATGAACGGCGGGATATCTCAGATGTTCAGAAACGGGATTTGATTGGCTGGCGCTGGCTACTCCGGCGTCTCCGGCGTCTCGGAGACGGACCGCTATGCTACCCACAATTCAGTTCGGCGAAAAGCGAGGCAACGTTTTTGAAGCTGTCGAAGCTGTAGTGTGGACGGGCCGTCACACTCTCGCGGGGGGTGCGCAGAGAACTGAGCGGAGAACTGCGCACAGCAGCTGAGGCCCTCTGGGCGGTGCCCCCTGCGCAAGGCGGGGCCCCATGCAGCCTGCGTGATTGGCCTGTAGGGGAGGGGCGGCCCTGCGTGGAGGGCGGTAGTTTATAAACCAAAAAGTAACCGCCCTTACGGGACGCTCTAATAAATAAAGCGAACGCACCCGCAAGGACACCTGGGAACAGACATTTCACGAGCGCACAGAAACAGCCTGAGTGCGAGGAGAAGGTTTTAAACTGGAACACAGGAAATCTGTAAGCAGCAATATATATATCTGAGTGCAAGCGTAGTTTGAGCAGAAGCAGAGCAGATCTAAGCGCAAGCAGGCACTATTTGAGTGCGAGGACAGGGTTTGAGGGAAAGAAATCAATAAAGTATGCTCTCAAATTTAAATACCACACTCTTGAATAAAGATAGGGAATAACCCCCATAGGGATTTAGGTTTGCTCTTTGTTGTGCACAACAATGGAGGCCAATTTTGGAAAGTTAGAGGAAGAGGTAATAGCAATATACTGTATTTTGTTATTTCTCTATTTTTCTGTATATGGCCCTCGGTGAAAAAAATAGCGATTATGGCCTGCATGTTTTTCTGTCCTAACTCAGCTGTCAGCTTCTTAGCAGTTTAGACAAACATCAAATTCACAATGTAGACTAGTTGGACAAAATAATGTTTAAAAACGGTTCCATTTACTGTGCGAACTGTTTTAGGGGTCGACTGTATGAGATATTGTACAAGACTCAAACATGTCACAAGTCATAGCTAATCTCACATTTCTAAGCAGATGTCTCAAATCTTTCTTCTTCACTACACCTCAGTGTGTACAATAGATAACACTCCTATTACAGTAACAAACACAAGAAAAAGTACAACAATGCAGGACGTCAAATGTTTTAATTTTAGAATGTCACAATATTGAATGACTGAACTCCATCCCTGCCATTTCGAGTTCTCCGTCCATTGGTCAACACTGGGAATGTCTTCTTGTGACATCAACCAGGCATTTGAGTCCATGCTTAAAATGCTCTGGCTGATTATTTACAGCATTGTCCAAGAGAAAACTGACATCTGGGAGCTGCTGACCAAATTCCCTCTCTGCAGCTTCCTGGTCCTGGGCATTATGGAAGGGGTTGGTGCCAAAGTGGGACTCCCGTGTCAGCCTTCCAACCTCTTGATCGTACCAGTCGGCAGCCACTGATGCAACAGGCAAAAGGTCTGGTTCGACTCTCTTCGGGCATCCCTCTCTTGCCAAGTAATTGGGTATACCCTTCCCTAAAATAAGTGTAGCATAAAGGATACATTCATTGCTTTAACTATACATTGAATGTTTTTTAAAGAGGCTTAAGAGCAGAGGTGTGAAGTCAAGACATGATGAATTATTTTGAAATTCTGAGATGGCTTTAGACTTTCCTTTTACTCAAAATATATGTGTATGTAATTAGATTAGACTTTATCACATCTCTGCTTGAGAAACAAACCCTAACACAAACCTGGAATCCTGTGGGCATTCCATGCTTGCACAGCACGCTCAACTCCGAGCTGGGCCAATTGGCAAGTCAAGGATGACACGCAGTATTTGCTCATGTTGTCCTCCATGTCCAGCTCCTCCTGATCCACAAGTTGGATCAATGCCAGTTTCAACGGGTAGTTTACCCTATTGTTGATTTCAGGCCAAATTCTTTCGATTGTATGATTCTGTCAATGCAAAATATAGAAGATATTAGCTTTTTTTTATAGATTAATGTACTTTCTTACACACAATTTCATAATTATCATCTACCTTTAGCAATCAATTAAGAAGAAATAATGAAGAAAAGCGTTAGTTAATTAATTACATGTTGTAATTTACTTTAAAAAGCAGAAAACTCTAAATTATAATCAGGGGTTGTACAATTCTTAGCTTGACTGCATACATTACAACTCGGTTTTGAACTGAATCACCTTTGTTGACGGAGTTTGCCGGTATGGTGGCCTCTCTGTGTTGTGTCGCTGGCTGGCCAACTTCTCCTGCATAAAAAGAGTTAAATAGAACTCTTTTCCATGGTCCACTCTGACCTGGTCCCACATGCCATGCTCCATTATTGCACTTCTGCAAGAAAACAGAATAAGGTTACCAAGTCGGATACAGCAGTATGAAGAGTGCGGCTAATGGTGTCATCCGTAGCTGTCTGTAGAACAATTATAGTTGGTCTTGTGTTGTCAAGCAGATCAGAGGTGAACAGAGTTTTGACTTGCTGCTTAAAAATGTAAGACCTTTTTAGGATCATTATGAATGCAAATCATGAAAATACAAAGTAGAGTTTTTCACATCCATACTGAAAAAAAAGTACAAAGGATATGAAGAACTTCCGATTCGACTAATGCCTTTATCATAATTTGAGTGTTTTCTTGCACACGGTGCAGCAGGCTTGACATTTGTATTTTCATCAGGCTTCAACCAAACTTGCACTTAAGCAGGGCTCGACATTATAAATGGCCCGCTGGCCCGGAAGCACTATTTAGACACCCCGGGCCAGCATAACGTACTTTCCACTTGCCCGCTCGGGCCACTAAAAATATTGTTTAAAATGTTTTTCTTCTTGTGGTATTGGTATTTTGACTAGCAATTTAGTTAAATTGTTTCGTTTATCAACGCTACGAGTCGGTTGTCATTGTTGGAGGAAAAGCAAACAGCTGTTTGCTGCGGAGCGCAGCGCGAGCAGGCTCCCCGTGAGCGGGAGCGCGCTCCTTCACTACAGACTATCGCGCCACCTAACCATTCGCCAAAATGTATTTAATACCAGCGGTAACCGGCCAAGCGCCGGGCCAAAAACCCGTTACTTCTAGAAGTAGATATTTTTGGGATAAGAGGAGACCTTACATTAACCCATACACCACACTGCGACACACTAGCCGGTTGTGCTCCAATATATTCTGACCGGCATGCACAATTTACAATGGTGGTTCAATGTTGGTTTGATTTTGTACTTTTGTTACAGCGTGATCAATATAAGTTTATCTAACTTCATAATCCAATTTAAGGCAGAACATTTAGATAATTGGATTTAAACTGTTAAAGCACTTCATGAAATGGGGATGATTTCCACAAGCTGTTAGTTATTCTGTACTTTTTGTTGGACACAGGTATTTTGAATGACCTGTAAACCTCATTGTAGATAGTGAGGTTGTTCTTCACAGGCATAGTGGAACGCCCAACAATTTTGCTGGAGAAGCCATCAATCGCCAGAACATGAGTCACACCAAACATAACCAATTTCTCATTTTGGTCCATGTGCAATTTGTGACCAACATAGGCCGCAGTATATGGAACTGGATTGAGGTTCCTGGCTCCCTTAAATAGAGACAAAAAAAAAACATCAGGACCTCATTATAAGGGTATAGTAAACCATACTGAAATATTAGAGAAAATCACAATTCCATATAAAGCACTCCACTTAATTTGTATGAGCTGCCTCATTAAGGGTTTCTGAGAAATAACAATAACCATACATCCAAATAATCTAGGCTACATTTAATAAGCATTAATAACTACATTTGTGTTGTTTGGATTGATCCAACTACCTCTCAAGCGTGGATAACTAATGACGCTACATTTGATTAAACCTACCTGACATCGTGCCCTATGGTATGGTTAGTGAATGTTGCGCAACACATGGCCCACACGATTCTCTGATGCATGGACTCCTGCAGCTGCAAGATACCCTGTCATCATCTTCCGGCCATAGGACCAGTCTTAAGGTAAAGATAAGATAGTAATTATCAGTGTTAGTTATAAAAATTATGTTAAAGATGACAAATATATAAATATACACACATGTATAATATACATATATATATATATATATATACACACACACACACACAAACATAATATATACATGGAGGAAACATAAGGCCAATTTCTATAGATAATGACATAATAAAGTAATCGTAGTTGGTTGTGTAGGGAAAGGAAAAAACAGTTGCTCCAAGTGAAAAAAAGCCTAAAGCCGTTTTCAGCACTCTCGCGGGGATATCTCCACAATGGAGAGCGCTTAAGTTTCATGATATAGCCCAGCGCAACGCCACGTGTGGCCATTTTCAGGCGATTTATAATCTGTTCTAGAAAAACGATGTGTTTTTTAGGATTTCAAGAAGCATATCAAACAAACAATGGATGTATTTTATTAACATTTGTCCATTCTGAAAGTAGATTTAGATGGTTTAGGAGTGAGATAGAGATTATTATCTAATATATGCATCCAATGAAGCATTGCATGAAGTCTGTTGATGAATCAGAGGCTGTTTTTGGGGCTACATAAACTTTATTTTTGTTTTGTAGGCAGACCATGCAGGCCAGCCCGATGGTCACCAAGGTTCATGTTTTAATAGCATTTTTACAAAAAAAGCCCAGATGAGCCTAACATGTTAAAAAATTGCTTCGACCTCAAGAGTTAAACTTGGGCCTGCATAGTTTTACTGTATTTGATGTCTATGTTTTTTTTAAAATTCATTTAGTTAATTAAGAGTATTAGAACAATGTAACGTTTGCAGTGGGGGCTGGCCAATAGAGGGCACCACCCTCCCTGAGCCACACACACAAATCTTTATTATAATTATTAAATAATATTATTAATGGATGGAGAAGTCGCCCACAGGAGGCGGGTGTCTGTAGCAGGTTAGCCAATTAGCCAGGTTAGCCAATTGCTACAGTACATAACACACATACAGTATAATAACGCAAATACACAATTACCATTTGTTTTAATGTATATCTCTGGGACATTAACGCCATATAACATATTGTAGCTAGGGTGACCAGGTCCCAACAAACCAAATGTGGGACAAGGAGTATGTTTGTGTGGGACAATGTGGGACACCCTCTCAACAGCACACACCCCCCCCGGAAAAAAAATCTCTATTTCTATTCTGTTTCATTTGATCTATTCAACAGCATCCAATAAACAATGACAGAAAGTCAAGTCAAAATGCAGTAACAATTTAGTATCTCCCCCCCCCCCCACACACACAGTGTGTGGGCTATTTTGCCACTGGTGTCTTTAACTCTGCCAAACAACTCTCCACAGAGGCAGGGGCAAGCTGCTTTTGTACGTCCACATGACATTTTCTTTACTATCTCAGAGTCTGGAAAAATGGTCGGCGCTAGCTTGTTACCACAGTCATTTGACCGGTATGATTGGGAGTGTTGCACTGTATGGTAAACACTGGTTATTTCTGCTGCTGTTACCTTGTCTGAGTGGCCATCATTTTTTGGTTTGAGTAGGAATGTCTCCAGAGTGGGATGTCTCTTTTTGAGCGACACGTTTCTTGTGAGAATCGCATTCTCGGTGTCTTTTGACGTCGTATTCACCGCCATGTGAAATTGTAAAAATTACTCTTGCAAAGATTGCAAAAAACTCTCTCTGAGAGTCGCCCTGCACTGGCTTCACCCACTGATAAGTGTCTTCCCAGTCTTTGTTGTATGTGCATCTTCTTTTCTTCTTAGCTGTAGTTTCAGTTTCCTCCATTTTCCATAACCTGCTGCGTCGCCTGCATTATTGACTGACTTTCGTTGTTGTTGTTTGGCGGGGCCGCGGGGGGGGGTGTGTGAGTGAGTTACTCTCATTGGTTAACACTTGACCAGCACCCGCCGTGTTTACAGATTGATTGACAGCAAACACATCCCCGTGATGATAGCCTTCCCTGCTTTCTCAACAGCCATTGGATAAATCTGATTTTAAGAAAAGCGTTTTAGCCAATCAAAATGAAATATGCGGGACATCGTCTCAATTTGTGGGACGCACCAAAAATCGTGAAAATGCTGTGCAGCCCCGCGCAAAGCGGGACATCTGGTCACCCTAATTGTAGCCCAATATTACCTCTTTTACTGAATTGAAGACAGCAGCTTCCAGTTCATGGTCGGTCACTCGCTGTCTTGTTAAACCGTGTTCTCTACAAAAACGGCGAATGTTACTAATGGATGCTCCTCTTTGCATGCCACATTCAAAAGTCAAGTAGTGATGTATCTTTTCATCACTACAGCCACTATGTAACATTTTCTTTATAATTTCTAGGTAAGGTTGTAGGCTGGACTCCATCAGCTCGTTCGAGTAGGCGTACAGCAGCAGTGGTGGTGGGTGACGTTCAAATTCAGAGCAGTTGGCGCACTAAAGTCGGGTCCACTTTGGGACAGTTTTAAAAGCTGCAGTCTCTGTCATTGGCTAGCTCCTGTTGGACCCTCCAAGTAGCGTTTCTTGTATTTTGCAGGGGGGTCCGTTGAGATCCGCCCCCGAAAATAACATTATATATTAGAATTTGCAGTTATTTTTTATTGAAAATAATAGCTTCATGTTTCAAATGTTTATGACGTTTAATTAAGTGGAAATTAAAATATGTTTTAGCTAGACTATTTTAAAAGTTAACGGTTCATTTTAAATGATTACTTCCGGCCGCGCTAAATATAGCGGCAATCCGAAGTTCTGTTAATTTGCGCCAGGCGGAGACCGTTGACAATTCCTCCAGCTCCTCGACCACACTTGTAACACCAACATGTTCGAGCAGGATCACGTGAACCTCTGGCGGGGAACTAGGACATTTCGAATTCGTGATGTTGACATCACGCTGGAGAACATAGGCAGAATATTTAAGGTGAGTACAAAATGTGACGTTACAACCACGCCCAAAGAGGATATTTCAAATTGTATATCTCACTTGCTGTATTTAACGTCAGTCCAAGACATTCAAAATAGGATAAGTTCAAATGTATTATTTTCCACACTTATACCATTTAGCGTATACGCCTAAAGTTAGTCTCGTATTTTCTGGAGTTTGTTAATGCCACATATTTGCTGTAAACAGGAGCCGTATTACGCCCTGATTGCACGAGAGAGTATGCTATATTTAACCCTCTTTTTTTTTTTTCGGAAAATCTTCAAAACTTTTGTGAAAACACACATTTACTCGTGATCGAATTGTTTTGGTGTTTTTGATTTGGTTACCAAAGTCTTAGGATCACAAAAGCAGTGAAATATTTGAATTACACTGTATATAAATGTGTTATTCATGTCTAAAATGAAAAAAAGTTAAATTCAAATTGAGTAAAATAGGTGTTTATCACTCTACTTTCACCACAGCAGGGACTGAGATACATTAGGACTGAATAATGACTTCATATTACATACCAAGGTTCATGTGATGTGTACAAATAGAAATTGAGCATTCAACCTTTTTTTTCAACCAACAATTTATTATAAATGTTTTTTTCAACCAACTATTTATATAAATATAAGAAACTGGAAAATCTAACTATTTACAATATTGAACATCAGAACTTTCAACCAACTATTCATTATAAATGTCAAGACAGTGTCAAGGTCTTTGTCTGTCTTCCAAGACAGTGGGTCTGGCTGCTGTGAAGATGGGGGTGATGGTGCATGGGCTGCTGTGTAGGTGGGGTGTACAAGTGCTATACGAGACCTCCACGAGACCTCCTTGCTGGCTGGGTTGAAGGTGATGGCTGTGGTGGAGCCTTTGTGCTGAGGTGTATCTTGACCTGGTGGCAGCCGCAGGTGGAGGTGGAGGCAGCTGTAGTGATGCTGGTCTGCTGGTCCTTGATGGCTCTGGTGAAGGCCCTTGAGCCACGGTAGATCTTGACCTGGGGGCCGGCACAGATGGATGTTCTGGCTGCTGGATAAACGCAGCATGTGGGCCACTAGGCCCAGGCAGCTGTGAAACATCTCTGTAAAACAAATTAAAACGTAGGACAATAATTACAACTAATTTCATTGAAATAAAGTTCAAGTAAAATGTTGCTCAAGCACAAATAACAATGCACACATAAAAAGAAAGTTTGGGAGGTTGGAGGAGTCTCTCTCTCTCTCACACACACACACATATTTCCAGTTACTTTACATTCAGTATAAAATCACAGACACACATATACATAGGCTACATCTGATTACAAAGTATCATCTGTACAGAACAGTATGATAAAATAATCGATGGCAAAAACATGTCACTGTAAATGTCTCCGTTGTGGGACGAATAAATGATTAATTTAATCCTCTACACATGTAATCTCACTTTTACACACCAAAATAACGTTAACACAGAGTAAACGTTTGCTAATGGAGAGTCTATTTTGTCCAATAAAAAGTTCATGACTATCAATAAATAATATATATCAATAAACCTATTGTTCATTTTCGCGGTATTCCCCACACATTGCCAGTACACTATTACTGTAATATTTACACTTACCCATGTCCAAATGGATCCTTGTTGTTGTCTTTGTATTCTTCTTCTTCAGAAGAGTCGAAGACTTCAGGTTCTGAGGCTCTATCTTCACTGCTGCTAGCGAAAAAAATCTCTAGCGAAGTCGGCAACGGCAACGTTTTTTTTAGCCATTTTATCTGTCTCTCTCCTCAAAGACGTAAACTGATGGGAGACACGTGGTTTATGTTTTGTTTACTTGGTGGGTAGGTCCTTAGTGATTTCTCGATGTCCATTGGTCATTTCAGACCATGATGGCTGCCGGCCGAGATTTCCTTGACGGACACACGAATCCACCAATCGCACACAGTGTAAAGTCAAGCTGCTTTGAGCGGCCATATTGGCTGCTGTGCCCTGGTTACAGTCTCACAGGAGATACCGCTGGAAAGCTACTCTTCCAGCGATTACGCGGATATCTGAATCATATTTCTACTCCTTATAATCGGAAATATATGATTAAATACGTAAAATTATGCGCACCTGGACTAGGGCTGTACCCAAATATTCGACTATTCGTTCGTTGGCCAACTATTCGGGTTTTAATTTCATTATTCGGATATTCGTTTTTATTTTTATTTTTTTCTATTTTTATTTTTTTTTTCCTAAATGTATGCTATCAATAAAGGCGAATTGCCATATTCTTATACTATATTTATACTTTTGAATTGCACTGTTAAAATGCGGAAATATATACAATCAGCCTGTGCTCCTGACATCGCGTTCACTCACGGTGTGTCCACACAGCAGCTTTGACCAAATCTTGAAAATCCTGGAGCTGGGCGTGTCTGACAGCTTGGGGATTTCGCGACCAACAACCAATCACATGAATATCACATGAATATCCCGCCCCCGACATACAAAGCAAAAAAACCCGGTTCTTCTACACTATTGTCAAATAGGAAGGGCTATGATGAACATTTATTTTTTTAACATTTTGAACATTTATGAGATTAATGTTTATGGTGCTATTTTATGCTACATTCCATGCTGGCTAATGATACTGTCTATGCTTGCTATCAACGAAGTAAACTAGCAACGAAGTAAACTGGATATAAAATCCCCAAACGAGCGAAAACCTACCAGTTTCACCCACTGCCTCTGCCACCTCCCTCCATGCCTGGTTCCTCCGGTTTGTATCCCGGTAAGTAAATAGGGACTGGTCATAAAGAACCGGGTGATTTGCTACCGCAATAACTAAGTTCTCCTCCATTTTTGTGGAATATAGAAATGAACTGCGGGTCTCGTTCTCCCAGCTTGCACGCGGTTTGATTGGCTAGCGCTTGAACTGTCAGATTTGCATAAACGGATCTGATTGGCTGTCGCTTCCAGCTCAGCCTCAAAAGTTGAACAATGTTCAACTTTGGAATCCTGAACATCCTGGAAATCCTGGAAATCTTCGCCTCGCCCCCCCACAATGCAGTTCGGCGACAAGCGAGGGAAAGTGACGTCATCCCCATTCAAAGTCAATGGGCGGAGACGCGCTGGAAGCGGTGGACAAATCGCCAAAAGCTGCTGTGTGGACGGGCCGTTACAGTCACGAACGCAAACGGCACGCTTCACCTCGTTTCACACACCTGAACACAAAATGCCGAAGACTCCAGCTGTGTGGGACCATTTTAAATTGGACGACGGTAAGAAGAAGGCAGTGTGCCAAATGTGCGACAAGAAACTGGCCTACCACGGTGGCACAACAACTCTGAAAAGTCACCGGATGCTGTAAGTACTAGCCTAGCTTAGCTTAGCTGTTGTCAAGTTGCCATGATGAAGCTGCTTTATCCGCCGTTTAAACAGTAACGTTACACATGATAAAATCGTGCACTTACTTTGCTTGGAAAATAGTTGCAAGCAAGCAACCGAATTGTTTTTTTATATTAGTTTTTCAATTTTATCCGAATAGTGAAAATAATAGGAGCAATGTGGGAACATCTGGGGCTAAGGCAATTATTGGCATACAGTTTGTTCATTTATTTTTCGTTCTTCACTTATTTAAATACTGTTTACTGTATCGGTAACAAGTATTACACTGTTAGGCCTACTGTTACGGCTATGTTATTAAAAGTATTGTTGTTAACAGAAATATGTGTTTTGTATCTTCAGGTTGTAAAA